GCCACGGGGCCGAGCCGGGGCGGAGCCACGCGGCGGCGGGAGGCGCCTGCGCCCGGGCGGGCCCACGGGCCACAGCGCAGCGAGGAGGGGGGCGATTGCCGTGAAGTCACAAAATGCTTAAAATAAATAAACAAACAAATAAATAAACAAATAAATGGAGTACCCGCTCCCCCCCCCCACACACACACACAGACGCCGTCCCGCTCCGCCGTGCGTGAGGCACGCGGGAGCGCAGCCGCCCCGCGCCCGCCGCCGCAGGGCTGTCCCTCGCGGGAACCGCCGCCTCCGCGCGGTGTGTGCCCGGGACTGGTTATCTCAGCTGGAAAGGCAGCTCTGTCCCCAAGTTCTTCTACTCTTCCATGTGAAATTATTTCCCACTTTCCCAAAGAATCGGCCATGTTATTTTCCCCTCAGCAAAGCCGCTCTCCCTGTCCCTTCCTGGCAAATCCTGCGGTTGCTGCGCGGCCCCGCGGCTGCTCCGGCCTCCCCGGCCCTCCGGAGCAGAGCTGCTCCGTGCYGCGGGGCTCCGAGACCTCTCCTCGCTTCACGGGCAGCCCTGGACCGCTCAGCGCGGAGCGCGGGTGCCTTCTCCTAYGTGACATTTGTTCTAACTTCTAAAAAATTATGCTTGCTTCCATTAAACAATCCATGCCTGTAAAAAGGCTACCAGGTATTTGTTTCATTTGCTGGCATTTTCTGGGTAGTTGCATATTGATTTTTCTTTAATCATTAAACGTCTTTTGTAGGTGTACAGAAATGTAGGATTGTCATGTTTCAAAGATAAAAACAGAGCAGTGAGTTCTTACAACGGAGTATTCAGTATTCAGTATTCAGTATTCAGTATTAGCGCTTCTACTGCCCCTTCCCTTCCCTTCCCTTCCCTTCCCTTCCTTTCCCTCCTGCCAAAAAAAAAAAAAGAGTGGGCATGTTAATGAAATTTACAGGTGCTCGTAGCCAAGGGAATTGTTCTCACAGCTTCCCAAGGGCTCGAGTTACTGGGTGGCCRTTTTCACAGTTAGTTCCTCGTGTTTTTCGCCGTTTCTGTTGCCCTTAGGCGGACGCCGCTACCCTGTGGTGTGTGTTGGCGCTGCGGAAGGTGACAGGCGGGCGGCAAATGGCTCAGCGGCAGAGCGAGGCCTGGAGCGGGGCTCYGAGCCGATGCCTTTTCCAAGGAATCTGCCTTGGCCCGGCTGCCATGGGAGCCGCCACGGGCAGGAGGCAGAGGCACCACAGACTGCGCCTCTCCCTGTGCTGCAGGAGCAGTGCCGGGGAGGAAGCTGCGTTGCCTCAGGCATCAGGGAACGACCAACGGGATAACGTATTGTGGGATGGGAATTAGTAGTTTCAAAGTGCTGGATTCTAGTTGAAGGTCTTTCCCCTGACCCCGACTTAAGGAAGACTATAACAAACTATAGGAAAGGCAAAACTCTCTCTCTGAATGCCACGGGATTAAGTTATAGGATCGGATATAACCAGATTCAGAGTTATTCCCTGTATTTCTATTCCCTATGTGTTTCTTAAGTGTGTGGCGTAGAGGGCCTGAGTTTTGCACACTGCCAATGACCTAATTCTTCTTATTTTGCTCCCTGTGGTGAGTTCCATCTGTTTAGGTCTAGAGAAATATACCAATACATCACTTTAATAGCACAGGGAGTTGATTACTTGTGCCCGTGCCGTCTGTGTGCGTTTCATTTGTGCTTGACAAGCATTCCTTTAGACCAGCTTAGAGACATATTTGAGTGTACTTAAATCCTCAAAGAGCCACTACTGATGCAAACTGAAGAGAAAGCAAATTGGTGCATGAAACATGCATGTCTTTCCAGACCTCCTGTTCTGTAGGTTGCTTGAATTTTTACACCATTTTGTGCATAAGGAAACCTGTCGTTAACCTTGCTCAGTTGTAGTCATTGTTTCCTCTCAGGGTAAGTACATATTGATACAAATTAATAAGTGAACATGCTTCAGAGATGGATTTACCTCTAGGCTCCATAATCTGCAGTGGATTTCCTTTAGCAAGTATTGAAGTACTGTTTTCACTTATAAATGACCTTTGTTTTCCAAGAGGACTGTACCCAGAGGATGTTTCATTCTCTGAAACATTTAGTACAGATGCCCTGTTTTTAGACAAAATGATCACATTAAGTGATATATAGTCACTTAAGTTTTTCATCCTATGGATTCTTGCTAAGGATAAACAATAAAGAAAAACAGACCAATTTCTATATTTATCTTAATGTGATTGCCTGTACCAAAAATCCTGAAATGCTGCAGCCAAGCAGTGCCTGCTGAGTAAGTTCTTTTGCCTTTAATACTGTAGTTTAAAGATTCAATACAGATGCTGTGTGGTTCAGTGGGCTGGTCCATCTCTTTTAAAGACTTTCTCTTGAAGGTGCAGAAATACCAGAACAGTACATCTTGTATGAGTCACAAAAAAGCTGATGCATCTCACAGTCTTGGGAACAAAATATTTTATTTGTCAATAAAACTATAGTTTACAGTAGTATTTACTAAATAAATTATATAATTTTTCTTTTACAAGCAATAAACTAAAAATCAAAAAATATTTCATAGACAATATATGTACACAACATAAGGCCCTGTTATAAATAACAACTTTCTCTTCTTTTCACCAACAGTGAAAACAGCTTCAGAGGCTCATTTTCATATAGTATGTGCAGAGACTCACCTCAACCCTTGCGTGTAATYGATTCCAATTTCCACCCACAAGGACTTAAATGATTAGAACTGAAGGGTGAAAACGAGTGAAGTTACTTTTACTCACCACTGTGCTGATTTTTAAACAGGTAAAGCAGGCACTACCCTTTGCTTGTGCATAGTTACAGAACGCATGCGGTTGAAGCCACCACAGGGTCGATAAGAAAATGCCACTTTGGAGTCCAAGAACGGTGGTTGGCAGGACGCTGGGAAACAGCTCTGACAGACAGTTCTTCACAGTTCAGCAAGCGGCAGCACAGGCAGCGCAGTGCGGAATGGGTCACGTCACGTTGGCCAAGTCCATCAGTCTTTTCCACACCTCCAGTATCCTGACTTTCTTAGAGATAAGTTCAGCTGATTATTTCTTTGTCTAGCAGGCTCAGAAAATTCAGCCTTTTTAAACCAGCGGGGCAGAGAGTGCTGGTTGTCAACTGTGGTCACTTCTTGTCCATTGTAGCTTTATTCTTCATATATCCTTTATTACTGAAAAGACAGAAATAAGAAGCAAAATAGTTTTATGCTTTCTTTCTTAAAAGGTTTTAAATGAATGAACCTGATTCAGAGGTTGGGCACAGTTCAGTGGTATTCTGCTCCCACCCTGCCCCCTAGTCAAAAGCATCTGGTCTCTGTTCGTGTACAACAGCCAACCCCATAGCATCTGCAAATTCCTCAGCACACAAATTTTAACACATGAAATCCAACCACTTGCTGCTGAAAACATTGGACGTGAGGATGTCACAGAAGAATCATCACTGGGAGGGCTGGGCAGTTCCCAGCAGCTTTTATCGTGTTGCAGAACCAACCAAGGCTTTTGTTACCTGGAGTGTGTCAGGGAATAGAGTCGTCTTACTGCAGCTACCCATGAAAGTCCACTTGGCTTCCTCAGGATACCCTTCCCGGATATAAAGTTACTGCTATCTACCAAGCTTCAGGCACCATCAATGTACTAGTCAAAGTCACAGCAATCATATTCCATCACTAAGAAATTACTTAATGAGTCAGAGTTTTCTAAAGTAGATCCTCCATAGCTGTTACCTAATACAAAGGGTTCATCACTTCTTGGGATCTTTACCAAGTCAGAGGGGAATCAGCAGTGCTGTTCTTTGCTAAACACATTTCACTACCTGAAGTGAAATGTGTTTCAAACTGAGGATAAACTGACTCCGGAGCAAATCTCACAGTAAAGTCAAATGCACCTGCAACTGCTTTCCAGCTTGGAGAACACAGAAACAAAAAACAAACATCTGGAACAACCTCACTTTAAAGGCTTCTAAAATATATATATATATAAGGAGGGTACAAGTTCCCATTATTAAACTGATTTTTTAGGTCACCTTTAAATTTTACTCTCAGATATAAGCGTTTAACTAACCTTCAAACAACTCAGCAACAATCTAATCTCGGCTGTGAACAACAGGTRCACTCCGAAGGTGTTTTGAATGCTTATCTTATAAAAAAAAAATGAAACCAGTAGATTTAAATCAACATTTTGGTTATGACTCCTAGCTCTAGACCTTGAACCTTGAAGAACTGTATTAAGCTGCTGCTGTATGGTGCATTGCTGGCACGAACAGTCAGGGGTCCACAGACAACAGTGGTCAGTTGTAAAAACACACGTTTCTCCAAAATTGTTCACTTTATCTCTAGATAGCTGCATTATTCTGGCCATGGTAGCCCACATACACTTAAATTGYCACAGTAGGAAAGTAATGCAATCTTAAAGGATGCAGAAAAATTTAACAGCTAAAATGGATTTGCTGGACAAATCAGTAAAATTAAGTGAAATCTTAAGAATGGTATGAGGGTAACAAGGATAACAAGGACATATACATTCTTGAAAGAATGAATGTAGCAAAGAAAGGTTGAAAAATGCTAATATAGCATATATATGTATAAACACTAGTATATATATTTATATATACATATGAATAAACTAGGATAAATTGGTTAAATTTTTCCACTGCCTTCTAGTTTGTGTTTGAAACCCAGATGTGAGTGTCTGCCTTTTGGACACAGGTGTAACAGTCAATCAACACAGCTTCAGATACTTGGCTTTACTACTCGACTTTTTTGGAGCTCTACTTTTCTTTTCATGGATTTGTTTCCAAGAAAATTAATTTCCTCATACAASACATTAAAAGCTAGGCAAAAACCTAACCCTTATCCCAAAACCTAAGTGACAATATAATGTGCTGCCTTCTTAACATCGGTGTAAATTGCAACACAGGMAGTTCCATCTCCATATGAGGAGGAACTTCTTTACTGTGAGGGTGCCAGAGCCCTGGCACAGGCTGCCCAGGGAGGCTGTGGAGTCTCCTTCTCTGGAGATCTTCCCAACCCGCCTGGATGCCGCCCTATGCCCCGTGCTCTGGGTGTGCCTGCTGGAGCAGGGGGTTGGACTAGATGAGCTCTAGAGGTCCCTTCCAACCAAAACCACTCTGTGCTTCTAAATGATAAACAATTTGTGTATCTTTCTTCCCCCAAAAAAGGCAATGCTGTTTCCATATAACTATTTTTGAACCACCAATCATCCATTATAATCAAAATGCAAAAACACTCTTCAAGCAAAATACCTTTTCAAAGAAAAGCTGTAGCTAAGTAGGTAGGCAAAATCCTGTATTTGCTATCAGCTGATTTAACTTGCATGGCATCAATGCAGAGCAAACTTTACAGTTTGTCACTGTGCTATTTACAGGCATGCTCTGCACTTATACATAGTAAGCRTAAAGAAAATCAAATCTTTTCCGAACCAGTCAATTTAATGCTAAAACTCACTACTCTGATTTTACTGACAGTGTAGTTTGTCAAAATAATATGACAGCTGCCTTCCTATCAATAAGTTATTTCAAGAATAGGCAGACAAAACAGGCTCAAAAAAAAAAAGCTCAAAAAAAGCGGAAACTTTGTTGTAGAAAAGCAGCAACACAGGAACAAACCCCTTCTTACATCTACAAGCAATGACTACTTGTAGGACTCAGTTATCCTGTTACTYATTTACCACCATGTATTATGATACCTTCAGTCTATCTTAAATGGCATTTTGTCTTCTTAAAGAACTGCTTTACATTTTCATAAAGGAAAGAAACCTTTAATGTTTTGGCTCTCTAGAGAGTAACATTTCAAATTGAATTTATTTTATATATCTGCATCTGTATTTTTGCAATTTTAACTAAAATTGTTATAATTAATTGCAACTAGATTATTTAGTATTTAAATATCACTACRTTTCTTAACAGTGGTGGAATATTTGGAAATAATTTAGATTGCCTTATATTTACTGTTTAGTTTAGAATTTGTTCTAAACAAAACTAATGTTTTGTTAATGAGAACTATACTTCTTAATCTGGCTTAAAACATTCAACATAAAATTAGCCAATGGTATTTTGAAGTAAACTTGGATTTGATGAAGTTCATAACAGTACTGTTTAGAGTAATGGATGCAGAAAATGCTGTTTTGCTGAACAACTTCTTTGCTCCACACAGTCTTTAAGCTGGAAAATCTAGTAAATTCTGACATAAAGGCCATGTGGTTCTACCCACTTCCTAAGATACCACCTTTAACACTATTACTGTTACCTAGAAGCATTTAATTTTTACAATCTCTGTCCCCCCACCTTACTTGACTCTCTACATTTGTATACAACACCATTCAGCTAAACGTCATTTAAAGGTTTTTGTTTTTAAATAGTAGGTTAAGAYAAGGTCATTTTACTACTATATTTTATTCATGCATAAGATGAAAAGCACGTAGTTCGTAATTTACTATTGGACAAAAACTTGCCCAAGAACTTTAGCAAGGCAAGAGCAAAGACAGCAAAGAATCCCTAACTGATTGAAAGCAAGTTAAGATATTATTTATTATAACATCTAACAGATAAGACTGCAGCTGCATGCTGCAGTCATGCAGAGATGCAGACAAGGATTATTAACTGTGATCTTAGAGGAGAATTTGGGAATGACATCTAAGGCTATATTTTTCCACTGATGCTCTTAAGAGGTCAAAATGTGTCTGATAGTTTGTCAACTGAGGCTGAACCAGCTAATGTAATCACAGTTGTGCTTGCTGTGTTTTGGGACAGGTATATACGAAGTCTCTTGATGTTGTTCAGGAGGCTGCAGCACTGCACGGGTTTGTCGGTGAGTCGGGGGTAGCCCATTTCTCAAGCAGTTTGGCCACCTGAGCAACAAGTGCTTAGCCACTACACCCAGTTTCCCTGCAGTGCCCACCGTGGCCAGACTTTGTCCCTGTATCTGCGTGTCAGGCTTGGGGATTTTGGGGTGCAGGGAAAGGGTGCTGCCAAGACAAAAGAGAAGGTATGATCTCTCCTCTTGAGACCTTGTTATTCTTCCAGATCCTTGATCAGGGGTGTTTACATCCCTCTAGCGTAGGTATTTTTCCATTGATACAGAATTCAGGGGAGTATGAATACCTATCCCAGTCTCCCAGATGTAATAACAAACATGTCAAAAACCCCAAGCTAGCTGAAGAGTCACACTGCACTGAGTGTGATATGGACAGGACCTCAAGCAGGTACTTCACAGTGCTGAGCAGYACATTTTTACTTAAACCAAAAACTGTCAAAAAGAAGTTCTGGCCTACCAGTCTACACAGACACAGGGTAAGATGCATGTAATTGCCCCTTGCCTATGCATTTCCCAAACCATTTCAGGCTTTACAGAGTACTCACATCAACATCTTACTAACAGCAAGCCCAGGGAATAAAAATCCTACAGGAGCAGGTTGGCTTAAGCGGCTGCTTGAGGTCACACTTAACWAAATCCATTTCCTATCTAACTGACCACTGCTGCTTGGTGCTGTGTCATTTCCATGGAGGCTGTAAWGACAAATCCTTCCCTATCTGGGCTGGGCTATTAAATTAGTAGCTACTAAGTGGATACTTAGTGGGTGTAYATACTGCATATATTCAAACATTGCTGGWTTAAAAAACAAACAAACAAACAAAAACCAAAAAAACCCACAATGGTACAAYGTACAGAGAGAATAGCATAGGGACCAAACAAAAATGTTATACATCCTGGAACAAAATCAGGAAGCATACAGAAAACAAGGTATACCATGGGCCTTATGTAAAAGGATAGCAATCATCAGGGGAAGAATAAAACATTCATTAGAAATGTAATGAACAAACTTTCTTTTTTCCCTATTTTTTCAATGTAATTCCAAAAAATCATTGACATTTCTTTAAGAATGTAAGAGGTAATAGGATAACCAGGATTTAAAAATTTCTATTTAAGGAAAACAAATGTCGGAAAACAAATGTCAGAAAACAAAACAAAGCAAAAAACCTTAATATGGTTTCCTCCTATTTTGATACCAGGATTTTTGAAAAGGGTTCCAAAAGTGAAATGCACAGAACTGCATACAAATACAACTGCAGTTGGGTGCCTAATGCTTTTACATAGGTGGAAAAAGAGCTGTATACTTCAGGGGAATATTAAAACACTACCACTGATGACACAAAGACAGCAAAAGATGTGGGCTTCATCACATCTTTCACCTGTCAGATAAGCTGATCAGTAAGCAAAAACAGTAAAAAAGGGTGCATTTTTAATCATATTCTTGCCACTGCAAGAAAAACACAACTGTTAGATATTAATATACTTCAAATTCAGCCGTACTTAAAATCAGTCAATGGCTTCAAAAAAATTAATGTAAACACTAGGCTTTCCTCTCTGGGAAAGTTTACTTTCTTCATTGTGTGACCTTTGATACAAAGAGGAAAAAGATGTGCTTTTTTAAACTCTCCTATATGCATGGTAAATAAATAATAGGAAAAAAAAGAAAAATAAAGAAAAAAAAGCTRCTGTCAAGGAAGAGCTGAAGCTGATGCTGGCATACCGCCAAAGCACTGTAGTTAATAATCACTTAGATTCTTGTAGGATGCGGTTTGGCAAGGTACTTAAGCATGACATTTAAGCAATACCTAAATAAACTTTTGGTTCTTGAAATTCTGCAAGCTTCTTGCTGAGCCTAGAACAAAGACACTGATGGGGAAAAAAATAAAAAGCCCATGAAACCAAAATCAGTTTGAGAACTTACTAAATAGACATCCAAAACTGAAGCATTATCATTCTCCATTTCCAGTGTGCTCTGCTCTGAGGTCAAGTAGATGGCACTGTCCTCTAGAGTGAACGTAGAACTTGAAGGCAGCCCTTTACTGGAAACAGAATGGAGAACACAGTCAACAAAAAACACCAGCTGCAACAAACTTAAAAGCGTATTTTAGAACGGCTCTCTCAAATGCTTTAGATACTAGGTAAAATGAGGAAAAAGTAAACGGGTAGATATAAAATATGTCAACAATTCACAGCTAGATAATGGGGCTCATTATACACAATTTGTACACAAACTGCAGTGTCTGTTGATTTACTTGCATTAACTGAAATTCACATCAAGGAGGAATATTATTTCTGAATTCTATTGCTCTTTGGAAGATCAAAATTACACTACAGTATAACAGTAAACATGAAATAATTTAATTAATTTCCAAAGAGGCTGTTTCCACGTTATGGTGGAATAAATGGAATAAATTTTGGTGGCATTTAAAATGTAAAATAGAAAGAAAAATGATGTGAGAAGAATAATTAGTAGTTAGTGTAGCTATGCAAAGAAGGAGTACTTGCAAAACACTGTAAAAATGTATTATTTCAATCATTGGTGCGATTTTCACTCACTGCTACAGAGAAAGTGTCTGCAAATGGACAGGCATTAAATATGTATCTGCAGAGACTTTGTTTTGTTTTTGCAGACAGGTTTGGAACCTCAAAACTGAAACTCTCAGCTTTATGGGAAGGTAAAGCTGCCACTGCATCAGTTTTCTTCAGCASTTACCAGAAACTGACTTCAGGCTGCCCTGAAAATTCAACAGTCAGTTTTGCTGAGCCTTTTTTAATTTTTTTTTAAGCGTTCTTCCTGTTTACACGCAAGGCTAAAAGCAAACAATTCTCCATCCCTGGAGAATATCAAAACATGGTCACAGCTACCAGTCCAATATATGAGAGTGTTAATTCCCTCCTCCTTTTGGACAGCTTCATGGCTTAGCTATGCTTCAGATCGGGGATCGCTTCCAAGTGCGCCAAATGAGAACGCAAAATAGACATCAAATTAAAGTGCTTAACGAGATAACGAGTCCTCAGTGCATTTGGGGAAGCTAATCCCTGAAGTGTATAGAGGGGAAACTAGGAAGTGAGTCACTGTCACGCTGKGGCTCAAAGAAGGCAGCTGCTTCTGCCAGGAGCTGGACTGAGCTGCACATTAAGCTGCAGCATTGCACATTGCACACTGCTTATGTAAAAACAGCTTAGGCACAGCACCAGCTTGCAGCAAGAGATATCCTCCACACTGAAATTAAAAATACAGCCTATGGTCAACAAAGCTTCAGTTGGCAACCATTTTAATGTCAAAATACCACAAGCATCTTGTTTACTGAAATTACCTTGTAATGACATCACTCAATTGGTTAGGTGACTACGAAACACATGAAGACAGAATTAGGAAGAAAACCAGCCAAACAAAAAAAAAGCGTCACTTTTCCCCCTTTTCATAGGAAAATGGGAAATCATGTTAAAATCTCACCCTTAGTGTGAAGGCCTATCCTATTTTGAGAAGCACTATATTTACTATCCTTATGCTGAAGTGAGGAGAAAAGCCATTCTCTGACCCCTTCTAAATCGCACACTCCAACACATCTAGTCAGAAAATGGGTTCAAGATTTTTCTCTTGAGTAGAAAATAAAATCTTCCTTTTGCAAGGTCCTTGTAAAATGCTTAGTGKATCCTAAGAGAAAGAAGTTTATTCAAAAAGTTAAATATCCCTAGRGATTACAATTTACAAATATAAAAACATGAAGTGTTGACAAAAAGTTCTTCAGGAGGAGCAATCATATTAGACTTGTTTTCTTTCTTGTAGATTTGCAGAATGACACTATTCTTGTACATTTGAATCTAAAGATAAGATGTGGAAGATGCCATTATCTTGCTAAAGAATCCAGGGGAAAAACAGTGCACTTTGTTAGGAAACCAGCATGACCTAGCAGGAATACTCCACCAAAATCATCTGGAATCCTCTAAACTTTCTTAAATTTTGATTGCTTTTTCTGTCTTTCACCGTGTTTTACACATATTGAAACRTAACTAGTCACTGATAGGCATGAGAAGTGACAGTTTCAGAAACTTAAAAAATCTATTATAATCACAGAAAAAAAAAGAGACACATCATCCAATGCATCTACTTGCAAATCTGCCCACAAGACAGGTAGGATTATTGAATCTCCCTGCTTTGCTTTGACTATACAGGCTTTGCAAAATGCTGGAACACACACCATTTACTAACAATTAACCAAAGCTAAGTTTGGGCTTTATTTTTTTTTTTTTGCTTGTTTTGTTTTTGTACTACTGGATCTTGTAGGAACTTAAGCAAAACTAACAGCTTCTTTCAGCTAACATGCCAAAATAGCATGACAGAGCAAACATAAATGAGAATATAGCCACTCAGTCTTCCCTGCTGTTAAGAGCTATAATAAAAACAGAGATTAGGGAGCTGGATGTCAWATATGCTTTCCTGTAGCATACCCCACAAAACATTTGCTCTGCTGAAACAGCTGCAAATTTGCAGTGTGCAGTGAGTTTGAACACTGCAATATAAGCTTTTGATAAAATTGCAGCTTATTGCATCATGAATTKTCGTCTTCAAAAGTCTCTGTTTACAGAAGTTAGTCAGAAAAGTGCTTGCAAAATAATTGGACAGTAAAACTAYTGTTTTAAGCCACAATACCTCACCAACTGTTGCAGACAGACTGTCTTGTCTACATTTAAATGTGTGTCAGTATTTACAGATATGTTTAAATAAATGCTTTAATTAGTTGAATGCTTTCATAATGTAGGAATATTAAAGCAGCTCTAAAGTTCAATCTTGCAATTCAGTTTATGAATACCATATGCTGCTGGAACAAAAAAGGTAGCTCAAACATAGTAAAACTCTGCTGTCAATAAGACAGAGTTTTAAGGACACTGAAACTACATACTGGAAAAAACAGTATGAATGGCTGATAATAAATGAGTAAAGATCACCATAAGCACAGTAATTTCATGGAGGTGAACAAGTCTGCAATGCTTTGAATTAAAATAAGAAGACCTGTCATTTTTGACAGATGTGTCTGGCCTGACATACTTAAGCGAGGACAAGTGTAGMAATTGCAAGCAATTGTTTGCAGAAGTGCAACAGTGCAAACAATTATACTTTAGGATCTTTACCAGGATTACAAAATCCTAGCCAACCACAACCAAATCAGCATGAGCCAACATGAATCAGCTCTGGGAGGCATCCACACAGGCAGCCTCTTCCAARGAATGCCACTGGGTCCTCCTCAACAGAAGAAATCAAGGTCTTAAATCAAGACTCATGCAGTTGAGTATGGAAGACAAAAAGAAAACAGGTAGGAAGAGAAATTCATACCTCGTAATATTTGCTTATATGTTAAGTATGTTAAGTAAGTATGACCCCTGAGGTCAACAGAATAGCAATTTTAAAATATACTCCTCCTCTCTCCCACAAAACAGGCAAACCACTGCCACCATCAAAAAAATCCAAATGTTTCAGGTGTTCTCTTCTTTTCTATAACAAAATGTTGCTTCAAACATTTGGATAACTCATTCTAAAGACCTTTTTTTTTGCTTTCTTATTTTTTTTTCTGTGCAGAGAAATATCCCCTTGATTTTTCTAGCTCTGCATTAAAACTAATTCCAACAAAAGGTACTGAATGCAGATTAGATGCCCTCARCTTGGTAAGCACAGAGGGAGGCATTCCTACTTCAATGTATAAAGCTCACAGCAACTTAAGGAGTTGCTTTTAAAATGTACTGAAGAGAAGCCAAACCCAGCTTTTTCTATTCATACACCAAAATCAAAAGATGTGACAGCACAAAAAGATGTGACACACAGCATAGGGAGCAAAGGATGGAGGAATAACCATCAAATCAGGAAATGGGAAGATGACAACTCACTGTTTAAACTGATGCTGGTGGAGAGAAGTTTATGATAATACTGCAGACTGGCTTATGATGCCATATAGTGCTTCAAGTGAGGATTCTGCAGAGAACTCAAGTATAAGGTAATATTGCAGAGTTTATGATGCTGCAATTCTGTGAAGTTATGGGAAGACTCACTGCTTCCTGGCAGCATTGCTTTTGCACTTTTAACAGTGAACAAAGCATGAAAAAAGATTGTAAAAACAATTCATATATACCTGCTGGTGAAAGATATACTCTTGAAATAACATTCATTTGTAGTGCTGCCAAATCCTGTTACCCAACAATTGCTAATACTAATTACATCACTGTATTACAAATACTGGAAGAACTTCAGATTTGGGGCTGCTGCAAACAGATTTTTTCTTTTCTTTCCTCGTGCAGCCTCAGCACGCTGCTAAAACTGATACTAACAAACAGAGATGGCCTAGTGGGAAATGTGAAGGTTGGGGCAGTCTTGTCTGCAGTGACTATGAGATGTTGGAATTCACAATCCTGTGAGGAGAAAGTTGGGCAAGAAATAGGATTGCAAGGACTGGACTTCAAGAGTGCTGAGGGARCTGGCAGGGGATGTTGCTCAGCTATTCACAGTCATCTTGGAGAGCTCATGGAGAGCAGGGGAGGTACTGGAGGACTGGAAGAAAGTAACATCACTCCAGTCTTCAAAAAGGGCAAGAGGGAGGACCTGGAAAACTACAGGCTGGTCAACCTCACCTCTGTCCCTGGAAAGGTGATGGAGCAGCTCRTCCTAGAGAGCATCTCTAGGCATGTGAAGGAAAATGAGGTGATCATGAGTAATCTGCACGGATTCACCAAGGGGAAGTCATGTTTGACCAACCTGATAGGATGACTACGATAGGATGACTATCTGCATGGATGAGGGGAGAGCTGTGGATGTTGTCTACCTGGGCTTCTACAAGGTTTTCGACACCATCTCCCATAACCTCCTCAAGGGGAAGTTTAGAAAGTGTGGATGGAATGAGTGGACAGTGAGGTGGATCGAGGGCTGGCTGGATGGCAGAGCTCAGAGGGTGGTGATAAATGGGGCCGAGTCCAGTTGGAGGCCTGTGGCCAGTGGTGTCCCCCAGGGGTCASTACTGGGTCAAGAACTGTTCAACCTGTACATTAATGACCTGGACAAGGGCACAGAGGCACCCTGAGCAAGTTTGTGGACGATCCCAAGCTGGGTGGAGCGGCCGACACTCCGGAGGGCTGCGCTGCCATCCAGAGGGACCTGGACAGGCTGGAGAG